GTACACCAGACATTATAAAAAAAAGTTTCGATACACCAGAAATGTATGTTTGTTATATATCCAGAGAGGAATAGTTTCATAAACTTGGGTACCATAGAGGTGAACTAAATTCTTTAAGGAGAAATAGTATAGTCTATTTGCTCGGACGGTGTTTATGCATGAGTCTTGATTTCTTCTCCTTAACTTTATCTTTATGTTGATTTCTATATATAACTTGTGTTGCAAGAATCATGGTATACGTTAAATTTTCCATAACAACCTTTCAACAGGTTGTCGATGATGTGTAAGGTCTCAAGCTTTATGAGGAGGTTGATTTCCGGAGGGATGAGTCCTTCAGAGATTATAGGGAAACGAGAAGGCGGCGAGCAACCAAGCAATTATTGTACCGCTTCTCTAAAATCTCTCGTATTCAACAATAACTAGAGGTGGTAATTCCCAATTCAATCCACCAATCCAATCCATCCACTTATATATAAAAGTAATCCAATTGGGTTGGTGGATTCATGGATTGATCCATGGATCCAAATGGCAAACTTCAATTTAGTACCTATATTTTTTATCTCACATTTTGGTACTCAAAATTTTATTTTTTATAGGAAAAATATCATTGAAACATTACGTTTTGGTACCTAAAATTATTCATTATGACATTTTAGTACCTAAAACTTTTCAAAATTAACATTTTGGTCCAAGACTTGGATGCCATTTGGATCCACCAATCCATATAATCCAATCCATCAATCCATTTGATCCATGGATCTACCAATCCAATCCATCAATCTATGGATCTACCACTAACTTTTTCGGTATAACTTTATGATGATTTCAGATCATTGCACCAATGTCAAAACAGTATACGAGTTCAACTTTCAACCAATTTCTTGTTTTAAACGTAAGAATCTGAAATTTAGTTGAAATCATGTATTTTTAATAAAAATTACAAAAATTAAATCCCTAACTCAGTTGATAAGTTCTTTAACAAAATTTGAAAAATGTGAAATATAAATTTAGCAAAGTGTCACTCAAACTATCGCAAATGCAGGCTATATTATAGATCATATATTTAATTACTTTGTAAATTTGATTATCACAATGTCTACAATGCTTCTGGTATGTTATTGGGTATATTAATAGGAGTAATATATTATTTTGAACATGGTTTTAGTCCTTAATTTAATACTTCGTATTATATAAATGTGGGTAAATATAGCAAGGGCCAAACCCCTTGCTAAATTTGGTGTGATTCAATAAAGAGACGTTGATAACATAGGTTAGAACCATTGGATATCTCGCTTTGACCGTAGTTCAAAATAAGCGTAGATATGGAGATTTCTAAATAGGTCAACCTTTCAAATTGCTTATGTATGACATTGTTTTGTTTTTCTGGGTGCTGGTAAGATGAAAAGCGGATCTAGTTTTAACAAAATCTAAGACCGATCCAACTCACTAATTACAAAAGCGGGTAAAGCTAGATCCCGACTCAAAACTCGTCAACACCAAGTTCAAACCGCTTTGACCAAGTCGATTGTTTTGTTTTTGGGTGCGGGTGCAGGTCGGATGAAAAGCTGATTGATTTTTAACAATGCACACTTGATATAACCAGCCAATTACACAAGCGAATAAAACTCGTAAACACCAAGTTTAACCCTCTTTGACCGGATCAAATTAGGTTGGATACCCTTAAGTTTGGGGATCAATTATCATAAAGATTAATAATTAGAATTGTAGTAACATTCAATTAGAAGTCACCAAACTTTTACTGAAATCAGTAACATACATAAATCATCTATATAATTAGAATACATTATCATAATTAATAAAGATTAATAATATATTTCTAATCATATCATTAGAAATACATCTCCATTAATTTTTTTTACAGCCATATGAAAACTTGGCCGAGTTTTACAAAAGCTAGTAAACTTCACTCCCGACCAAAAACTCCTAAGCACCAAGTTCAACCAAATTTGTGTTAAATTAGGTTGGATACTCATGAGTTCGGGTTTTATTTTTAATCTCAACAAAAACTCAAACCCGACCTAACTCACCAATTTCTTAAGTTGGTAAAGCCTGCACTCGACCCAAAACTCGTCAATACAAATTTTACCCACTTTGATCGGGTCGGATTGGATAACTATAGGTTCGAAATTAACTCTTATTAATAATGAATTAAGATATAAAAGTAATTTAGAAAAATGTGAAAACAAATAAAAACAAAGATCTAATACTCGCTCCAGAACCAAAACCGTCAACACCAGATTCAACCCGCTTTGATTGAGTTGAATTAGGTTAGATAGCTATGATTTTCGATTCAATTGTTACTCTCGTTTAGAAAAAGTAGAAAAATAAATTAAAATGCATTAAGTTACAATTTTTTAATGAACTCCAATAACATACATACATAATCCATATTATTAGATTTATATCGTCATAAAGTCTAATAATATATTTGTTATAAATATATCTCAATAAAATGTAATCATTTTGTTTTTGGGTGCGGATCGGATTGAAATTGGGCCGAGTTATAACAGAACTCACACCCCGATCTAACCAGCCAATTACAAAGTGGGTAAAACTCACTCCCGACCCAAAATAGTTTGGCCAGTTGAATTATGTTGGATACTCATGGGTTCGGGTTCGCAAGCCGAGTTTAATAAAATCTACATCCTACCCAACCCTCCAATAACAGAAGCAGACAAAATTCGCCTCGACCTAAAACTTGTCAACACCAGGTTTAACCCATAAATTAGGTTGGATACCCATGAATTCAGGTTCAAGTGTCATTATTAACCAAAACTCAAACCCGACCACCAATTTTTAAAACTGGTAAACCCCCACACCCAACCCAAAACTTGTCAATACACATTTTACCAGCCTTGAGCCGATTGGATTGGTTTGGGTAACAATGGGTTTGTTTTCAATTGCTTTTCGTATGTGAATTAAGACATCAAAGTACTTAAAGAAAGAATGGAAAACCCAATAAAATCAAAGAGCCCTCAAAGTTTCCATCAGTTTCAATTAGCTCCCTCTTGATGTTACCCTAATGAATAGTGACTTGGAAACTCATTTTTATACTATAAAATAAAATAAACATTACAATAACTACAATTATAATTATTATCATAACTATATATATTACATATAACAAATAATAATATATTAAACACTTACAGATGTTGGATTTGTTTGAATGCCACTTAAAAAATTATACACTTTGTTTGGTTTCCCAATTTGACGCACCAACGTTTCAATTCCCTTATTATTAAGTCTGTTTCTCATCTTTCACAAGTTATTGTTTATAACATTAGTGTCTTGGCTAGATTTTTCACATGGAAATAAAGTAGAATTAAGCCTGTATTTTATCATATATATAATTCATGTATTGTTTTGTTACTCAATTTCCCTTCTTACTTCAAAAAATAGTCTAATTTTCTTTTTGCTTGATATATATTGCCGCCCAATTTCTTCTTTCCCGCTCCAAAAGGACACCCAAATTACGTTTAGATTGATCTATATTTGCGCTCAATTTTTGTTTGGGTTAATCTATATTGCCGCCCAAAAATGTTGAGATAGGAAAAAGTGTTTTTCTTCTTTGCATTTAGAGTGGTGTTTTGTTTTATGAATGTATGATTTGTTAATAGTGTCTATTAGTTGCAAATGTTGATACAACATTACTATTAACTAGTGTACTTTCTCAACTAATATTAATTACATGACAGGTTTGCAAGTCATATAAATTGATTCAACATTTTGACATGTTTTTTTTTTAATTGTTAAAGTATATATACGAGGTAGAAAGAAATTGTTTAAAAATTTTGAAACGTATTTTAAAATAATGTAATAAAATGTATAAGTTGGTAATGAGTAAGTAATTGCATGCGTTGACCAGAACAACCCGTAACTTGATCCGCCGACAACCCGCTTGACCCAAAACTCGATGAACTCGTAAACCGATTGAGCCCACCCGATGAACCCGCAAGTCGATTGAACCCGAACCTGATGAACCACAACCTAATTGAACTCGAACTCGATAAACCACAACCCGATGAACTTGAAACCCAAGTCACCCGCAACCCAATTGAACCCATCCCGAGCCTGTCCGATTGAAACCTCTATTCTTACCTTTAATATATCATGAACATGTATTAAATAATGTATGGCATGCCAAGAAGTCATGTAGTAGCACATAAAATCGTTAAATGAGATAAAATTTCATCACACTTAACTTAATTAGTAACCCGGTCACACATGGAAATCACCGGGTGGGTTTTCTCATTTCTGTCGCTTAGATTGGGGACGTGCTTCCCCGGTCAGTCACTTGAATTCCCTGGCTGGATTTTTCACTCGAAACCAGACTTTTCTCATGTAAAAAATCTACAGTCTGACCCCTTAAATTTCCCGGCCGAATTTTTCACCCAGAAGCCAGGATTGTTGCCTCTCAAGATCACCATTTTGGTAATTTCTCCCTCAACTTTTGACCAAATTGATTGATTTTTGTTACTATTGAAACTAGATTCATAGGTCAACAACCTATCCAAATGTCAGACCATTTGAACCAGTGGTATGGGTTTGACACTCCATTCAAGTGGGAGGTTCAAAACAGATTCTTACTTCTTCTTTCACTACTACCTTCCTTTGATCCAATTCATTCTTAACTCATAAATATGCATATTTATCATACTAACATGACTAAAAATGATTAAAAACCACTCTTGTACATTAATCTCCCCCTTAACTTTCTTTTCCAATTGGTTCAAGAGGAAAAAGGAAGTGACGCTACCTTTGTTCCCTTAGAGACTATCTGTTTCGTACACTCCCTGTCCATCCGCATTTTTCAGCCAACCAAAGATCATGTCAACGATCCCCAACGATCAGACAGAGACCAAGTTAGGGAATACTTTAGGGTTTAATTTGGTCCTTGGGCTAATTTGGTCCTCACAGGCAAGCGACGAAAATGGGCCACTATAGCCCATTTAATGGATATCTCCTATCCAGCCTAGCCGAGCGGCCCATCGGGAATGTTCGGCAGCCAACACGGTAACCAAAGAGAAAAAGAAAGAAGGGCAGACGCAGGAGCAGAAAAGCGAACGGGAATCCAAACGAGAGCTCAGATCTGCATAACACAAATATTCACAGCACCAATCATGCCTACCGGCTTCGTGTTCTACTCTGGTATGTGCTCTGATTTCTATGGTTTTTGTACGAATCAAGTTAGCCCTTTGGTCGAAATTGATTTCTGTTTCTTTCCAGCTTTGTTCTTTATTTTCGCATTATAGGGTTTAGATTTCATTCTGATTGTGCTATCCATTCCCCAACCCGCCCTTCCCAGGATCGTTTTCCATTTCGTTTGATTCTGAGCGAGGATTTTCAAGCAACCCGACCCCTCCTAAACCACCAAGTCGGAACGGTAATCAAAGTCAATTCCTTTATCTTTTCTGGCTAGCTGGAATTCTCTCTCCGTCTTCCTTCTAAACACAACACTAATCCTACATGGCTTTGTGGTTGTTTGGCTTGCGGTGGTAGGTATGGTGGCTTCTGAAGAAACTGTCATGAATTATCTTACTGAATATGGAGTTAATAATATCAAAAGTGTTAAGCTTGTTGAGCCCAAATTCCCCAAGAACTCATATGCAAGGCAATGCAATAATCTGCTAGAGCTTTTTGCAGAGGTATGTTTGATTTCTTGCTTATATTTTTCTTTCAAAAAAAGTGCCTTGCTGACTGCATTTCGTAAACCGTATTGTATATGCAGCGTATGGTCGAGGAGAATGTATTTGGTGCTCAAAGCTACCGCGAGGCTCTGCTGAAGTATTGTGGAGTTGATATTGAGTACTAGTCATTTTAATTACTAATCATAATCATGTATTTATGCATTGCCCATCAAACGTGCTATATCCCCATAATAGAGCACCCGATGAATGTAATCTTTCGTGTTATATCAATGACGATGGTAAATATATTGTGTACAGCAATCGTAAAATGTGCCATCAATAGCAAAACATGAGAAGAAACATGTTCTTGCCACCTCTCTCAGTTGTTTCTTGACGGTCACTGCTACCCTTTGATATTTGCTTTAGATACGGTCAATACAGAAACGATAAACCCAGGAAAAGCTCCAGGATAATGGGTTGCAATTGAAACATGATGATCACATATTCACATCGACTATGTACTTCTTGTACGGCCACTTGGTCCCAACTCATATTGAGAAGATCTTCAATCCACACAGGCGTTTAAATTTGTCAATTGGTTTTGGATCTGATTATCCTTTCTAGTCATTCACAAGCATCAGCACTCGCGACTCTGCACATTGAACCTTCGTACTGCTGTTCAAGAGTTAGCTCCTCCATGAATTTCAAGTGATTTGGTCCTGTGTCGGGTTTCAGCAGTCATCTTGAATCAGCAAAGAAACTGAAAAGTCTACCACTGACTGACAATATTGACATGAAATGGAAAGTACTTGACAAAAGCATTATGCTTATCAATGTTAGAATGAATTTTTATTCTTTTCAGATTTAGCGAGAGAAAGATGGCCTACATCAGCAGTCTGTATTACCTACAAGAAATCAGGCTTCTCTTTTGAAGTTCAGTCTAGAGTTCAAAAATATAATGCCCTGTCACAAGGTTTTTCTTATATAAGGGTGAGGAGATATTATTAGGGTAAAGGAAAGAGAGAACAATGATTACAAGAATTTATATGAGTTGAAACAGAGGGATAAAAGAAGGTTAAGTACAGTCACTACCTAAGAGAAAATGAACAAAATCAGCCACCTCATTGGATTGACCTGATGCACAAAACAAAGGCAGCAACCTTTGCAAGGCAAAGTAGCAGGACAACACAATTCAACAGGCAGTTGGCAGCCACACGGGCACATTTCAGCAGCTTAAAATCTGCAGCAGCATCCCGAGACATTTCAATGGCTTTAAGAGTAAGGGCAAACCAGCTGCACTATGGACAGCCACTCTATTTCACAATGTCTGCTAATTAAGCCACCCGCAGAGACCCAATTCAGAAGCAGTTTACAAATTTTTTGGAAGATCATCTGCCAAGGCTTTGTCTCATAGCGAAAGCATCTTGCATTCCGCTCTTTCCATATTTCCCACGTGAAAGCATGATGGATACACTTTAAAAAACAACCTTTCCATGAAGCTTGATCTTGGTGAGGCCAGTTTTTAATAATGTTGTCAATGCTGCCCAGAAAAGGTCCTGTGACTTCAACCATGTTCAGCAGTAAGTACCAAATCTGACTGCTGTAACTGCCTGCCACAAGGTTAGAGTGTCATGAACATCACTGAGCACTGGATAAGAAATGAAGCTCATGCTAAGAGCACTAACTTGTTAGTCAAGTATCAACAATGCAACTCACAGGAACTTAGCGATGTATCGATGTCTGTGTATTCACGAGAATTTTTAGACCAGAAGAGCTGAGAGGTGACACTTAAGCAAAAGAAAGGTTCAACAAATGAAAACCCAAGCAAGAGCCTGGCAACAGAAGGATGCCAAAAGTTTCATACATCCATTTAGTCTTCCTTTTACCTTACTTCTCTATGTTCTATTTTTTATCCTGTGAAGAACATTGTCGGGGATCACAAGACCCTTTCATTCAATATGGGAATATAGCTCTTACTTGTTGGTGGAATAGGCTTCTTCGTTCTCTAATCTGCGAACCCCCATACCAATGTTTAACCGTATTGGCAGTTGGGGTTAAGTTCCTAACCTTCGTTTCTGCAATTGCTAACTAGCATGAAAATGTTCCTCAGTTGGCTTCCTCAGTATGCTGTAATAACAAAAGCAAGTAATATAGTTGTCAGGAGTTTAGCAGTGACAGATCTCATCTCATCTGCACCCAAACTTTGTGGTTTTGCCTTTATTAAATTTCAAGCAACTTAATTAAAAGAAATGGTAATGATAATAATTATAATCAACAAATAAATGAAACTAAGAATAAGTAAACCACTTATGAATGCAATTGTTTGATTCAACCCCTACTAGGTTCTCCTTTACACTCTTGATTAATCAGATTGCATAGGGTCAGAGCATATCAAATCTGGATTCTACAAGCACCCTAACTCAAGTAAATAAGTTCAGTATATGAGACAATCATCAATAATCACATAAGAATGCAAAACAAATGTCCAAGAAGGAAGTCATGTATCTGAAGGAGCTGAATATAACAACAACGACGACAACAACTAAGAGTTCTTTCCCAGCAACATAATATACTTGTGCTCAAGTCAATGCCTCAGGTTAAGCCTCCACAATCATTATTTGAACCCTACTGCTGCATCCACTAGTATCTATAGATGAAAGGGAATGAATCGTTCCCCTTTCTTTTTTGTCATCAAGCTAATCAATCATCTAGATTAAGAGACAAGATGTATAGATAATATATAAAATTATTCTTTAATTTAGATTAAGAAAGCTAGAAATATATATAATATAGCTAACATCAGTACATCACCCATCCCCATAGAATTCTCATCAAACTAATACTTTATCCTAACAAAACCTATATAAGCAGATCTGTTAATAACCTCAACATTCTCATACCACTAACCAAATTTATTCACATTCAACTAATCAACTACTCGCAAAGTCTCACCCACTAAACCCCTCCATTACCCCACATATGAGTCAAAATCTTGACCCCCTTAGCCACTCCCCACCCAATCAAACCAAATGGACCATAACCCTTGTTGTCACCTCCCTTCCCAGACCCGTTGTTATCATCTTCAGATTCAGAATCCGAGTTCCCGTTGCTCTCTTTGACAAGTTTCTCCATCTTGCTTTGAATATCAGTAAGCCGGGTGTTCATCTCCACAATCTGACTCTTTTCTTGGGCTTCCGCAATCCCTGCAGCCTCTAGAATGCCATTGAGGGTTTCCTCCATCCTGTGCTGAGAAGCAAATGTGGCGACGGAGGAAACCTTCAATAGGTTCTCCACGGTGGAAACAGTAGTATTGCCAGACGAGAGCAACTCAGAAAACATCGCACGAACCGTCATTGCATCATCTGTTGATTCACCTTTGAGGGGAGGTTTCCCGGTGATCGAGTGAACTTCTCCCGTCGCGTCCTCCACGTCAGATCTACTGAAAACAATTTGGACTGTGCCCTTAGGGAGGCTCAGAGAGCTGAGCACCTCAACCGTTGCACCGCTCCTCAGCAGAACTCGGCACGCCATACTGGCCGGGAAAAGGAATGGAGAAAGAAGAGAGGATCGCCAGAGAAGAAGATACAGAGAAATACAGAGAAGAGAGTCTTTTCTGTCTGAGAAGAAAAAACAGAGAAAAGAGCGGTTCTTAACTTCTTATAGCCAGGCTGGGCCTAGCAAGGGGGCCAATTCTCTAGTGCCGGGACGGTACCGGTGATTGCCGGTTTTCTTTAGCCTTTTGTTTTCTTTATTATTATATTGCCAGTTGCCGTTTAATTTCTCTTCACTTTGTTTTCTTTATTTTTTTTATTGCGAGCTATTGTTCTGTGGAAAGAATCTAAAGCAAAATCATCTTCTCATGGATTCAATTATTTTGCTATTGTTAATTTGTTTTAATTAGTTTATTTATGGTTTGTGGTGCTACAAATATTTATAGAAGTTAGTAGCTTAGTGTTTATAAATAGCTTGGTTAGTAAATATTCTGTTTAATACACGTATATATACCCGTACTTATTTTATCCGGTTAAAATTTCAGTATCCGTATTATTGTCAACTTGTTTAATTTATTTTCGTTTATTTGATGGCTCCCGTACTAAACCCGTATAACATGATTAATATCCGTATTTAATGAATTAAAATGTTAACTTTACTGTTATTTTATATATTTTTAAAATAATTAATTTTATATATTTATGAATATTAACGTACTATTAAACGTAACATTTGCTTAGGAACGAAGTATAATACCCGTACATATTTTATACATAATTTTCTCGTACCGTATTTTACTAACTAGGATAAGGATGTTTGTGTATGGCTAAGGTTGTCAACCCTTTGACCTAGTGACAAAAACAGACCGTACACTCTTGTCGGGTCGACCCGCTGCAAGGTATCAGATTGGAGGTTAACGATGTCGTTTTTTCTTTGATTTGTGAAATGCACATATTTTCTGGGTTTTTTTCGCCTAATCCAGTCTTTGGAATTCTAAGTTGAACATTGATGTTTAATAAGTGTGTGAATTTTCACTATATGTTGGATCCAAGTATGACATGTTATTTTAATGTAATGTTATATGTCATTACTCATATGTTAGATGAGATTTTATAAAATAGGGATAATATTTAAAAAAAATTGATAACCATTATCCATTAAGCATACTTTATTGCATAATCTAATATCTCTCATCACATTTGTGAACACAAAACATTATTTGGATAGTTAATAAATGGTTTATGTAATAAACATTAATATATATAAAGATCAAGTTGAGTTACTGTTGCGTAATCTCGCAAGCTGATTGGGCAACTATCATTTTTACATTTTCATACCCAAATTTAATTAATTACAACTTAGTTACCATTTACATTTTGATACCCCAAATTTAATTTTAATGTAAAACTATTGAACAATTATGTTATGTTGTATAAATTTTATGAGATTTTCGTAACTACAATTTTTTTTAAATTTACATATTGGTTTAATGTTTAGATTTCACTTGAATCCATGAATCCAATCCGCCAATCATTTTGAATCAATCCATGAATCCAATCTACCATAACAAAGAATATCAATTTAGTTTGTAACATACAAGATGTTGTATCACTCAACTGTATTCATTTTGCTTCTCCCTAAAAAATTTCTTTTTCACCCAAGCTGAAATTTTCGACAATTATATATGGAATGTTTGGCTAGGTATCTACATTTATCAAATAATAGTTTCCATTTTTCTATAAAAAAGGTAAATAATTATTATCTTAAATACATCACCATAAAAGAATTTAGCCTCAAATATACAAATTACAGTTCGGTACCTAAACTTAA